CCTTCCTTTCTATCCAGTCATTGTTGTGCCGAGCTGGAAAGACCTTCTCTCCATCAGTACCAACAAGGAGAGAATTTATATTCTGGCTGAGAACAGGTAAAACAATCAGTAAGGTCATCTTTTAGCCCCAGGCAAGATAGTTGCGTCTTTTCTCTTAGTTCTCTATCCCCCAGACCTTTCTTGTTTCTTCATCCTTCTTTTCTTTCCCTCTCTAACCTTGCTCTCCATTCTTTCACAGAAGATCAAAGGCAAAAGAGAAATGCAGAGAGGGTGGCAGCTTGAAGCAGAAAGGAACTCTAAGGGGAATGTTGGTGTGAGGAAGATAGAAAGGGGTTCGGGGGCAAGGTAGGTGAGAATGAGAGAGAAGGATAGAAGATGGAGCAAGCGGAGAAACAAACACACAGAAAGAAAAAACCAAAGGAAAGACAGAGAAAGGAAACAAAAGAACAAAGGAATAAACAAAGGAAGGAGGAAGAAAAGAGGGGTAGTTGCCAGGAAATACGCACAGAGCACAGAACCACTGCACTTGACATCTCGAATGGAAGAGGCCTTAAAGCAGGTGCAGAGAAAATGAAAGGGCAGGACACTGTTTATAGATTATGTCCCTTAATTGTCAAGTGGAGTTGGACAGTAGATACATTTAGTCATTTGAACCATTCAAGGAGCAAGGACAGAACATGAACGACCTGACACTGCTGAGCCACAGTTGAGCCTGGATTTTCCTTAGTCCCAGCTGAACCCCAAGGGTAACAATAAATAGAAGGTGCAGGACACTGAATGAAACATGAATCTTTTTTATGTTCCTTTTACATAGCAACAATCAACAAACCCAGAGGACAACAAAAGACAAAAATGTTTTGCAGATGTTTCCTATGTACTAATCCTAACTTTAAATTTTGGTATCATATCAGGCTTATAAAAGAGTTGCAAGAATATCACGAAAATTCTGATTTCAGCAGATTCTCTTGTGGATCCCTCACTTTGCTGGCTTTATCCTTCTACGACCTCTCTCATCTCTCTCCCTTGTCTTGCTCCCGAATCTTCTCTACTTTTTCCTTAAATCATCTGAGTGCAAATCATAAACACATTGATGTCCCTTAGCCTCTAAACCACAACGGCAGTGTATGACTAGGAAATCGGGATGGTATAGATCTGTGTTTCTCACTGATGTAGAACTGCAGAAAGATGCAGGTGGGTCTCTCCAGTTGGAAGGGAAGGGGGAGCTCAGAACACAATGGTGACAAATCCAGAGAATTCTCATTGGCTTGTCAGATGTTTCATCAACTCTAAGACAGAACACTCTAGATTTGAGCAGCTCTGCAACCTGGATGTCTTCCAATCAGTGCCACGGTCACAACTACCAGTTTTGTAGAATTAGCACATAAAGTAATGGTACAGCCTACAAATGATGGCTTCTGAGAGTAGCTCAGAGGAGTGCAACCTGCGTGCTATCAGGAAGAGAAAAGCCCAAGCAATTCAGGCAAGGAACAGGGCTTTTCCATCAACTCCTAGGAATCATCTCCGTTTCCTACACCTGCTGTGCAATCTCCTATGTTCCCAAGGAAGAAGGCTGATTTCCAGCTTGGTAACAGAATGCTAGTATTCTTTTTTTGACTACTGGGTTCAATAGAAACATAGCTATCTTCTGATTTTAATAACAATACTAATAAAATAATTAAATATTTGGGTTATTTTCCAGTCCAAATATATCAATGGCAGAGATGCATACAGGGAGTAAACTGTAGTGGCTGTTTGGCATCCCATCATTCTCTCTCTCTCTCTCTCTCTTTCTCTTTCTCTCTCTTTTTCTTCTGTTATCAGAACCAGTCCTTGGCTAGAGTGTGAACCTGGCACCAGCCTGGCCCACTGGAGTTTTTCTGGGAACTTTAAGTCACTCATTGGAGGGTGTCCAAGGCCAGCTTCCATTGGTGTGATAACACAGTCTGTGCAGAGCACAGCAGAGATAAAGAGTGGCTGGCACAGCCCCTCCTGGGCCTTTCCATCCTGGGATGGACACTGCTTACCCTTGGCCATGACTGGAGCCAGTGCATTCTGCTTCAATAAGCTTCAATAAGTTTCAGTTGTTCCCTGGAATCAGCCCGACAATCTTTTTAAAATTTCTATTTCAGAGCGTCCCTGCAGCTTAGGTGTTCTTTTTAGAACGTGTTAGCAGAAAACAATTTGAGCCTGGCATCTGGGAGGATGCAATCCCCATAGCTTATGTTGCTGAGTGATGCGGCCACTCCCTCCGCACCCCCTTCCCTGGCCTTGGAGCCCTGACTTGGTGGTGCCATTATGATTATGAAGAAACCTGATGTGGGAGTCTTACTTGAGAAAAGGTCACCTGCAGCTGCATGGGAAGTCCTCGGGGCTGCTTTTGATGTCTTCACAAAGCCTTCCGTAGGCACCTGATGGGCTTTCCATGAGGTCCATCCCAGAAAGTCCACAAGAACCTGCGGCTTCCAGGATTGACAAAGAGACCCCGGGCCATTGCTTTTGGTTAGCCCTAAATGTTAAGGGCTTGCCTTTCTGACAGCCTGAGTGCAACTGGTTCCTCCTCATTTTCAGGCGTGTCTTGGAACAAAAGCCTAGCGCAAGAAGCATAGCTTGGAGGCTGCAGCTGAGCTACCTGCTATTTCCTCCCGTGTGAACGAGTATGAAAGATCTGGGACGCCTCAAACGCTGGCTCCACCTCTTGATAGCTGCGTGACAGTGCATTCAGTCACATAACTTCTCTGAACCCCGGGTTCCTTATCTGTAAACAGGGTAATAATAAATAGTCCAGGATTCAGAACATGGGTGGAGTTCAAGTCACAAGGCTGTTGCGTGCTTAACAAGCAACTTTTACATTTTTCCTTCATGACCCCAAGAAGCCTGCAGGTCATGACTGGCGACCTGGGTGATCAAATGCGTCCCGCCTGTTGGCCAGCTCGCCCTTGCCCCAGCCTAGTTCTCATCGATTTTTTCCTCAGGTGTCTTGAAAGTTGCGGTACCTAAGCACCAGCCGAAAGGAAAGCGGCACAGAGGGCTCGGAAGACAACCGTGGGCTGAGCGCCCCTGAGCCCCTTGGGAAGGAAGCGCCCTGCTAGCTGCGCACTGCGGGGAAAGGCAGCTAGCGCCAGGCGTGCAACAGGATCACGGTGCACTGCCCGCCGGACCAGCTGGAGAGAGCCTGGGCGCTCGCTTCGCTGGCCCGCCGGGCGCGGCAGTGCGTGCACCAACTAGGGCGGTGGCGGCCGGCACCCCGCCCTCGGGCCGCCGTCCCAGTCGCCGCCTCGGCGTGTCAGGTGCCGTGAGAAGCGCCCAGGGATATGACTGCAGCCGACTTCCCAGAAGCGGCGCACGCAAGGCAGAGCTCCGCACGCAAGGGGGAGGCGACAGCAGAGGAAACTTTTCAACCCGATCAAGTTGGCAGGCGCGCGGGGACCGGCCTCCCCTCCCACTCACCGCCCTCGCTCCAAGAATCCTCAGAGCGCCCTCCCTGTCGGGCCCCCACCTTCATTCCCACATTCGCGCCAGCTTGGCTCCCTGCCCTGCGCCTGCAGCCTCGGCCAGCGGCCGGCGCCACCTGCAGTTCTAGCCCTGTGGCGAGGGCTGGTCCCGGGACGAGAAGCGGCTTCTTAGGGAATTCTGATCCAGCTGGAAAGAGGTGCAAAGAGAACCTTGCAAGTCGCAGGACCTCGACGGAGGTGCCAATTTGTTTGTGAGGGCCAAAAATAAAGTAACACATAAAATAAAAAATAAAATGACAAAGGGCGTTGCACGGCTAAGCACGACCGCAACCCATGCTTTCCTTGTTTCCACATTTGCAGGTTTGCTTTCCTGGATGGGACACCCTAGCATCGTGCGCGGGTTTCTCGTGGGCAACGAAGCTCATGCCTCACAAACGGACGCATTGTGCACTCGGGCGTGGGGCGCATTCCCAGAGAAGGCACCACGGTAGGGGGTGGCTTCTGTCCCCAGCGTGGTTCTGGGGCAGAACTTGGGAGTGACTGATTAGGAGCTGTTAATGGAGCAACGAAAAATTCACACCGCCGCTTCCAGGAAAGCCGCCAGCTACCGTGCCAAGGTCTTACGTGCGAGCCAGGGAATCCTTGTGCGACCACCCGAGTAGGAGTCGCGGGCGGCTGGGACCTTGCCAGTGCGGCCCGCCCCTGTTGGCCCCGCCCCGGGCCAGGTCCGGCTTCCTCCTCCTTGTTGTAGCCCTTAAAGCCCGGAGCAGTGGATGGCGCGTGCTGAGTCTCTGCAGTGCGCGCCAATATCCCTTCGATGCCCGCTGTGTGAGCTGCGGGCGGGACGAGGGCACTGGGAACGGACTCCACTCCTCAGCTCCTAGTCTCTGTCCCAACGCTGTGAGAACAAGCCAGAGCCCTCAGGTGCAACGGGGCTAGGCAAAAGAGGCGCCTTTCTCCGTCTGCATCCCTAGCCAAGTGTTCTGGGCTCTGACGACGTCAGGGATCTCCAGTGTGGGTGCTAAGGTTCCTGGAGAGGGCGGCAGGTTGCCGCGGCTGGCCTCCAGTATTCTGGAGACACTCAGGTGGACGTCTTGCACCAAACCCTTCTCTGAGCAGTCTATACCGCGCCGCTGGAAACCGCGCTTTCCTGCAGGTCAGTCTGTGGGCGGAGCCGCTTCCCCCCTCCCGCCGGCCTCTGCAGGTGGGTTCTTGCGGGTCAAGGGTGGGGATAGTAGGGACAATAAAGTTACTCCTAGCGCCACCGCCTCGATGCCTACGGCTGTCCTGAAATTGCAAGAGCCGTTACGCGGTTGGGGATGGGGAGGTTGGTGCTGGGTCACCGCACGGGCTTTCCCCCTTCTTCAAGGGAGACTGGAATGGAGGTGCGAAAGAGTGTCTTCTGCCACCTCTTCAAAGAACCCGCTGCTCCCTGCTCCGTGCAAGGCTCCTTTCCACCCAGAAGATGCACAATAGCCCAGGGCTGCGGTAGGGGCGCTCCCTTCTCTGCACACCTGTTTGTCACACCATCTCTTTTCTGTCTCCAGCATGGCCACCAGCCTCATCCCGGACGCTCCTCGCCCTCTAAGCTCGCTATCCTCCCAACAGACCATACTCCTGTTAGTCCTCTCGGTGCTGACCGCCGTGCACGTGAGCCAGTGGTTGCTGAGGCAGCGGCGGCGCCATCCGGCGCCATCCCCTCCGGGCCCCTTTCAGTGGCCTCTGATCGGAAACGCGGCGACTGTGGGCCGTGCGCCGCATCTCTCCTTCGCTCGCCTGGCGCAGCGCTACGGTGATGTATTCCAAATCCGTCTGGGCAGCTGCCCTGTGGTGGTGCTGAACGGCGAGCGCGCCATCCACCAGGCCTTGGTGCAGCAGGGCGTCGCCTTCGCCGACCGGCCGTCTTTCCCTTCCTTCCGCGTAGTGTCCGGTGGCCGCAGCCTGGCTTTTGGTCACTACTCGGAGCACTGGAAGGTGCAGCGACGCGCGGCGCACGGCACCATGCTTGCCTTCTCCACGCGCCAGCCTCGCAGCCGCCGCCTCCTCGAGGGCCACGTGCTGGGCGAGGCGCGCGAGTTAGTGGCGCTGCTGGTGCGCGGCAGTGCGGGCGGCTCATTCCTGGACCCGAGGCAGGCGACCATCGTGGCCGTGGCCAACGTCATGAGCGCCGTGTGCTTCGGCTGCCGCTACAGCCATGACGACGCCGAGTTCTTGGAGCTGCTCAGCCACAACGAGGAGTTCGGGCGCACGGTGGGCGCAGGCAGCCTGGTGGACGTGCTGCCCTGGCTGCAGCGCTTCCCCAACCCGCTGCGCACCACCTTTCGCCAGTTCGAGCGGGTCAACCGTAACTTCAGCAATTTCATCCTGGATAAGTTCCTGCGGCACCGCGACAGCCTTCGACCCGGCGCCGCCCCGCGCGACATGATGGATGCCTTCATCCTCTCCGCGAACAAGGCTGCGGGGCCCTCGGGCGACGGGCGCGCGCGCCTGGACTTAGAGAACGTGCCCGCCACTGTCACGGACATCTTCGGCGCCAGCCAGGACACGCTCTCCACTGCGCTCCAGTGGCTGTTCCTCATCTTCACCAGGTAAAGTCTCCGCGATCGGGTTTCGCGTTTCTTCTCGGAAATAGACCGAGTGGGGCTCGAACACGCCGAGGGACGCGAGCAACGCACCGGCTTTGGGGATGCGCTCCAGATCCCCGGCTGGTCCCGGAACACACAGGCGCACACACCACACCCAGTGGGGTTCCGGTCTATTCTTACCTCTTATTCAGTCCCCTCCTCCGCTTTCTCCCTCTTGCGAACGGAAACAAATTTCTAATAACTTTGCTGCACAAGCAAGGTGTTGAGGATGCCGACAGATAGGCAGATAGTTCATTGTCCCTGGCCCAAGAATAGCCAAACTGGAAGTGTTCCAGAAGCAAAGAAAGCGCAGTGAAAACATTAACCAAACGCAGCAGCAGCAGCCTAATCTGCTCTCCCAGTCCTGGCGCGCAGCGGAGCCAGCGCGTCCCTGGCGCTGAAAAAAGAGCTAACCGCGGCTCCGGGCTTTGTTCCCGGGCGAGGGAAAGGCCCGCCCGCGGGCGAGTAATCCGTCCGGGAGCTGTCGGAAGGCGGCCAGGAAGCGGCCCGCTGTGCGCGAGGAAGCGGAGAGCAGGAACAGAGAAGTGCGGAAAGGAAGCGGGTATCCAGAAGGCGCTTGCGGCTCGCTGGCGCTGTACCAGGGGCTGGTACCCAGTGCTCACTGTGATGAAGGAAGACTCTGACCTCTACTGCGCTCCGATGCGCAGGAATGAAACTGGGCCTGGTGTAGGGTTGCCGCAGGGAGCAGTTTATATATAATATAATATAAATTGTATATTATATAGACACACATTTTACACGGACAGCCAAGTGTTGATCCGACGTGTGTACTTCAGTGAACGGCCTATCTTTGCCTCGGAAACCGGGCTCCGGGTGTGTTATTTCTCGGCACACAAGCAGGCATCGAAGATGCTGGAGCCTCCATATTTAGAATAAAGAGGCAGTAGATTTTTCTGACCAGACTCCAGGGCAGCCTGCCTTTCCTCAGCTATTGCACAACTTCTCACGTTAAAATAGGTTAGTTATCGTCGTGGGGTCGGTGTTAGGATGGTGTGACACGGCGCTGGAGGAGAGAGGCAGATGTCGCTTGGAGAGGGAAGGAACTGCTTAACACCAGGAAAAGGGCAGGCCCGGAATTGGATCATCAGGCTGACCCAGGACAGCTGGGGAAACCTTGGAGGAGGCTGGCGCTGGCCTTCCCTTCGCTGAGAACCGAGCTGTAGCAGTTCTCCACTCAGGCAATCCAAAGGGATGGAACAATCTGACTTCCTCGTTCAGCTCAAGGCAGCTGCTTGCTTCTTTCTCCTAATGGAAAGGCAGCACGGGAGGACTTGGCTGTGAGTTGATTGGAAGCGCAGCCCCGTGGGGTCAGCGCTGTCTTTGCGGTGGCCAATTCTCACTGGAGTAAGGCTAAGGGGCTCTCAAGGGTTATGAGGAAGAGTTTGTCCATAAGGTCTGAGGTATTTACCATCAGGCTTTGTGATGCAGGGGTCCCTGAGCAGGCGATTTTGAAAATCACCTGCGTGGCTACTTTTTTCCCTCTAGAATTGCAGTTGCTACCCTTTAATATTTTTGAGATTTCTACTCATTGTGGTGGATGTGATCCTTTTTTTTTTTTTAACATTTACTCTGGTACTTTTCAATGGCTCTTTGTTGTTGTGATAATGTGTAGTTCCATGGGATGATTTCTTGAGCGTTTTATATTGCTCATTGGTCTTATTGTCTGGTTGTCTTTAAAATGTAAAATATGGTTATAGGTAATTGTAACTCCCTATTACATTTCCCGGCACGGATTCCTGGGTTTTAAAACACGGTGAGAAAAGGTAACACTACACATCTTGCTTCCTGCTGAGATTTTGTTTTCTTTCAGTTTATGTCATCAAAAGGAATGCATGTTATAATTATTGGAAATTTGCTTCTTAAATTTAGAAAATGTGTAGCTTTGCTTGTCAGGATCCCAATTATCTTTTCGTAAAATGAGAAGCGAGAGCTGTCTGGGAAATGGGGGTGGTGGGGGAAGGATCTGGTTTTCTGGTTGTAGTTTAGCTATGATAGGTCTTTTGGCCTATTTTAAGATTAAAAATAATAATGTTTGTTATGAGTACATAAGGACCAAGGTTAAGACATGAACATTCTGTATTGTAATGTGTTCTTGTCTCTAAGCTTTCAGTTCTCAGGTTTGAAGATTTTAAAATACAGAGAACATTCCTGTGGGCCCCTAAAACTATCATGAGCCGAGGTTGGCCTCATCCATTGTTGTGGCTTTTTTTTTTTTTTTTTTAGGATGAGAAAACTGATTTTGCTTATTTGTTTGTTTTTACTTTTGCTGGCCAAGAGAGAGTCGTGTGAATCTTATGGCAAGAAATAGAATTGGTAAAGCCCATTTTGTAATTTGGTGAGAAAATAGAAAGTTGTGTTAGATTTTGGCCTGAAATGTTAATTCAGTCACTGACCTAGGCATTCAGTTTGCAGAAAGATGGATTACACTATCATGCTTTCTAGAAGAAAAGAAGAATTGCTTTTGCTCACTCATTTCTCTCTCTCTGCAAACAGGTATCCTGATGTGCAGGTGCGAGTGCAGGCAGAACTGGATGAGGTTGTGGGGCGGGACCGGCTGCCTTGCATGGATGACCAGCCCAAGCTGCCCTATGTCATGGCCTTTCTTTATGAAACATTACGATTCTCCAGCTTTGTGCCCATTACCATTCCTCATGCCACCACCACTGACGCCTTGGTTCTGGGCTACCATATCCCCAAGAACACGGTGGTTTTTGTTAACCAGTGGTCGGTAAACCACGATCCAGTGAAGTGGTCTAACCCAGAGGACTTTGATCCAGCTCGATTCTTGGACAAGGATGGTTCCTTCAACAAAGACCTGGCCAGCAGCGTGATGATTTTTTCCACGGGCAAGCGACGGTGCATCGGTGAAGAGCTGTCGAAGATGCAACTGTTCCTTTTCATCTCCATCCTGGCTCACCAGTGTAATTTCAAGGCCAACCCAGATGAGCCCTGGGAAATGGGCTTCAATTATGGCTTGGCCATTAAACCCAAGTCGTTTAAAGTCAATGTCACTCTCAGAGAATCCATGGCGCTCCTTGATAATGCAGTCCAGAAGTTACAAGCTGAGGACGTTTGCCCTTGAGAAGAGGCCAGAAGTAACCTGAAATTCCACAAGGACTCAAACCCTTGTGGAACATGGGGAGTAGAATCCAGGTTTTTTTTCCAGTTTTTCTTTGGTGCCACTTCTTGGTGAGTCCATGATGAGTATGAGTGAGGTGGCCTGTGGGTGAGCCTCACTCTGTACTGAGCTGCCTTTTGGGAGGACTAGGCTGTATGGGAGTTCATGGAAGGTTTTTTTGAGTTAAATGCCCAAGTATTTTTATACATGTGCTGGATTTTGGGGTGAGCATTCAGAGGAAACACACACATACGCACAATCTGGTGAAGAAATATTTCAACAGCCTTAATTTTTCCGGTGGAATCCAAGATTGTTCTTCAGTGCAGAACTGTACTTCTTACAAAGCAGTATTAAGCAAAGGTTCAGGATCTGTTGTTGAAGATGCCAAAGCAGGTCGTTTCAGCCTGAGATGTGTGACTAAGATTGTGAGGGAAATGGCCGAGATTGTTCCCCGCTCTTCAGTTGAAGAGCTTAGAGGATGCTCGTGTGTCCAAGTGCACTTGCCTTTTTGCCTGCTGAGCTGTTTTCTTATTCTTTAGGGTTGAATTATAGAATCACTCAAAAGAAACTGAGATTTGAATTAGTGTTTATAGTGAATATCAGTTACTTATTGTTAAACTGAAGAATTCCAAGCTGAAGTTGTGTTTCTCTTGATTGCCAAAGTACGATATTTCAATTATATGTGCAAAAACAAGTAATCTGCTAAGTTTTTCATTATGCAATTGTAATATATTGATTTTAGTAAGTCTCACTAAATAGTACTCAATATATGTGAATATAGTATATAATTATTCATAAGAAATATGTTGGTATTAGTTTGGTTGGGAAAAGGTGAAGCATAGCTTTATAATATTAAAGACCAAAAAATCCAGCCAATTCAGCCATATATGGGCCAAACAGTAAATGAACTTGTTTAAATCAACTGCTTTTTTTAAAAAAGATGTTTGCTTTTTTGATACCAAGGAAGCAATGTCAAAGCAAAGCCTCTTGGCTCACATACAAAATCTGAAGGAAAACTGACAAATCTGAAAATTAGAAAATGCTCTTGCTTTGTTACGGTTTGATTAGAATTGGATTTATAATACAGAATCTCCTTCTTCAATTCATCTAATTAATACGTTATAATCCCAAACTCTTGAGATTCTTAAATCTTAATCTGATGTAATGACAGTTCTGATGATTGATTTCCTGTTGTAATTAGTGGAAATGTAAACTGTTATCCAAATGAAACGCAAGACATACCCGTGCCCATCTGTTACATTGTGGAAAATGCTGTGAATTATCTGAATTTTCTCTTTACTACCGAAGTAAGGAACTCCTATTATCATTCACCCACTTTCTCTTTTAAATGATTTTTTTAAAGCTGATAATGTCTGTTTTTGGAAAGTCAGAATAAGAAGATAGTGATGGGAGGCTCTTAGGAATCATGTTGTATGACAGTGAAGCGAATCAGAACAGTTGTGCATTGTATTCCTGAAGAAAGGAAACCCAGTGAAGCATTACTGTGCTGGCTGGGAAAGAACTGAGCTGGAACAAAATGTATGCATTTGGATTGCGTAAAGATGGGAGCTCGTTTTTTTTTTTTTTTTTTTTTTTTTAAGTGAAGGAAGGCTACAAAAATACGATGTGAAGTTGCAAGTTTTAATTTTCATTACAATTAAACTTTCAGAGAAAGTTCTACAGAGTTCTAAGGTTTTATTCTTCATTCCCTTTACATACGTTGTTTTTCATTTTCATGCTTAAATCTCAAAGGAAAGGAAGGTGTGATGGTTGTGTTTGGAGGGGGGTGGTAAGGGAAGAGAGCGGGGAAAAAAAGCCAGAGAGATGCCTCATTCCTGTCTATTCCCAATAAATAATTTGTAACACAAAATTTGAAGCACAAATTTTTATGAATAAGACTTTGCAACGGATCTCCAAGAGATTGAAAAAAGGATCTACAGCATAACAAATCTGTTTTGTAGTCTGGACTATTGTATTAATAAAATTTCATATTCTACTTAAAAATATTACAGCTATAAGTGTTAAAGATGAAAAGTTATTTGTGTCACTGTTGTCAAAGGCATTAAAGTCAACTATTGAAATCAGGACAAAGCAAAACATATAAATTTTGCTGGGGCAGGGGGAAATAGCGACTATTTCAAAATGATATACCCAGTAGGGCTGACACGGTGATTTGGGTCTGTCTTAGCCTATTTAGGCCTATTTAATTGATTAAGAGAGGTGTAAGAGCAAAATCAATCATGTGCCAAGCTAGATACCTCATTATGCCAACAAACCCAGATGTGCTGTAATCTGTTCTTAGTCTGTAGGATCAGCCATCATCTATTGCATGTTGCAAAGGGAAAGCTGTGCTTCTCCAGGAGAAAATAAGGTGGGTGTTTGGGGGTTAGCTGGCATATTCAATACACTTGTAGCCCAGTTAAAGGAAGGAATAAATTAGACCAGTCAATAATAACTGTCTGGAAGCCACAAAAATCAGATAATTGCTTAATCATAAAGCCAAAGCAGATATGCCGATCACCATTATAATTTAGAACATTCAAAATTTGAACATTTATTTCAGGTTACTACAATAGTTAAAATATATTAAGTGGCTCATTTATATATTAAAGCTGTGATTTTATAATGAAATAGCCTTATTCCAAAACAAAAAGATGACTCAGGTGTGAATTGTAGATCATCAAAAAACCTTTTATGTCCCAGAACTTAGCCTTTACCTGTGAAATCTTAGTACAGCCTTACTATTTTATAGTAGATTATTAGATCAAATAGTTTCAGAGCGGTATCTGTTCGCCTGTGATGCAAATGCGTGATAAAAAGGTATAACTTAGTAGACGATTGTAACTCAAGGATAACTTCTAATTTAGCCTTTTAAAAAACCTTTATATTTTATCATGTATACTTTTGGTATGTACCTAGCAGTTAAATACATAGTTGTAACTGAAAGAGATGCTGAAAACACATTATAATGTAACTTTTACTGCTTGCTATACCAAATTTAAAAAAAAAAAAAACAAAAAAAAGACCTGTGATATCTATAATGGAACACTTACTGTAATTTTGTTATTAAGGTTTCTTTTTTTGTTTGTTTGTTTTAGCAATCTAATGCATCTGTTTATTTCAACCATTGTTGTACCACCCTGAATTAAAATTTTGGATCATAAATACTTTATTTGGCTGTTCGACATTATAAGCTGCTTACTTCTTTGCCCTGTCTCTTCCCACCAGCCCATATGCTTTTTAAGATACAGTTTCCTACTAAATTCCTGATTCTGTGTTCTGGAGTTTATAGAGACTAAAGCAGAAGTTAAGTTTTTGGCATGCCACCAAGTAAAATAAGAATTAACTTGCTGCTTTGAAAGACTGAAAGGGTTGAGGCTCTAAATGGCTGACCTAATGTTTCCTCTTCGTGTGAGTCAGACAGGACACATTTTCCTTCCTCAACCACAAACTGGTTCTTTTTCTGTTTCATTCATTCATTTTAAGGTACACATGTCTTAATTAAAAACGGAAACTCATGCCCAATACAAAGAATGGATTAAGAGGATTCTGTAACCTAACCTACTATGTGGGAATTATTTTCTGCTGGATTTTTTTTCCTTGTGAAAGGGTTGAATGTCACAGGGCTTGTGTGCAGGCCTTCACATCCCAGCCACACTCAAGATAGCAGGATTGTGTGGTTCCATAGGCCCTTATTTCTTCCAGATGGTCACTCCCAATACTGTGAAAGCAAGAAAGGAAATTGTGAAGTGAAAATTGCACACAACGTCATTGATGCTTTGGCTTGGAAACATCACTCTAGCAGCCAAAGGGATGATTATGTATTGGTCTAATGGAACATTCATTTTTCCAGATACACTGCAATAGGATCTTGGTAACGGTTCTGCCAGTTAAGGATGAGTAAAGGAAATATTTTCAAGGGGGAAATATTCTTTTAAAAACATACATTAGGGTCAGATTTTTGCAAAATTGTCAAGCAGAGCTGAACTCCACCAATTCAAGTGACGGTAAAGCTAGATGCAGAGTGGGAAATAAATGGGACACAAGACAGGCATGGTTGTTGGAAATTCACAGAAGCTGTTTCTATAACTTCAAAGCCAATCCATTCTCTTCCAATGTGCTACTCATGTTAAGTGGTAATACTCCCCTATTTTGGCTCAGTGACTGTGTTCTATTAGTTATCATTCTTAGAAAAGGGGAAAGAAAGAAGAATAAAGTTAACTGTATTAAAATACACTCAAAAAAAAAAAAAAGCAAAGCATTGAAGCCTACAATTTTGGAGGAAAATAATAGTAACGGGCCAGTTCTAGGTAACAGTTCACAAAGCTAGCTCTTTCATCTGCTGAGGCTCATTCGGGTTTTGAGAACGTGTGCTAGCATATTAATCACTTATCAGCATGTGTCAGGCATGAAGAGGGAAGAAATGGAAACACAATATGTTGGACATTTATGATTTGGAGATCATGGGAACCTCTTTGATGCATTTTATTGTGCAACAGTCTCATGAGGGAAGATGTATGGTAATCATCTTCCAAAATCATACTTTTAGAAGTATTTTCCCTAAGAGGTGAACCGAGCCTGTATTTGGATAAACAGGGCAATCTGCCTGTTTTTACATCCAGTGACCTTCAGAGTTTTCACAAGAAACTTAACTCCCTTGTCATGGGCACATTTCACAAGGCAGTTCAGGTGTGACTGATGTTGTAAAGTGCCAGGAAGGTTCCTCATGCAAAAATAAGTAAATATATGTGAACATATATAATAGTAAAATAAAAGTAAGCAGTCATACTTTTCGGTACAATGCTAAACACCTTTGCTGTAGGACCTGTCTGGCTTAGGGATCTTTGAGCCTAAAGCCAGACCTAGACTGTGTGGTTGCCTGCACCCTCCATCTGTCCAATCCAGGGAAGCCACACGGGGTGCCACAGCGAGTGGCAAGTCAAGACCCTTTCCCCTCTCAAAGCCTCTG